CAGGGCGACTTAGTAGAGCTCACCTTGTCCGAAGTCCTCTGCCATAATAGTTATCATAATTCCCAGCATCTAATCGTGGACTTGGTACATTCCCACGGTCTGATAAAGTGAATTACGATAACTACTGACAGAAGACTTCGGACAAGGTGCACTCTATTGAGTCCCTCTGACTACAAGAACAAGTTGCGACAACCCACTTCTATAAATCTAAAGGAGACTGCGACCATACCGGGGGCTACACCAACTTGGTCTTGATATCTTCGATATAATTATTCTTGTCTCCCGTTAGACTATCTCATCTAGAGTGGCCCGCAGTTGTGGACCCGTCTAGGCCTCGACACCTTTATTTGGATTGGATAACTGGTAGTAAGTATCCTGACGTTCCCATTCCACTAGTCTACCATAAATGTGATTGAGAAAAGGCCTAGCCTGTCTTAAATGTCACATCTGCTATGGACTAATGGAAACCTGTCCCTAGTAGGCTGGTAACGTACCACGATACTCACCTGGTATCTAATCCCGTTTAGGGTGCTTATGAGACCTAAGCAAGATCGGAACTGCGATCTAACCTGAATAAGATAGCCTTTTTGGAGACAAGAATAGGTAAAATTCCATGCCATCATGAGGTCTACTTATTTCTTTGTTAGAAAATTCAACTATTAGTCCTTAAATCACCTTCAGTGATTATTCATAAATTAGTGAGAATATATAAACATACCTATAGTGAGAATCACTAAGGTTTGAGGCTAAGTATTGAGCTTGATACAAAGTCAAAATAGTGCTCAATCTTGTATCACATTAAGGAAAACCAAAAGCAAACAGGTACACGGCCTTGATGAAATCATTAGGAGACAAGAACAAGACTGTCACTAAAGCAAAATACAGATATAGTTAAAGTGGAGAGAATATAAGCCCCATTACACACACGTTTGAGATAAACTTTAATGATGATTTATCAAGAGCTATTACAACTCAAAAGAAATAATTTTATTGCCCAATCGAATTCCGATGGTCCCCAATAAATTCAAAGTAATAAAATATATATTAGATTAAGACAATATCTAAAACCTCAATCCTCCTCAGATAATGATGGTGAAAAAAAGACCAATCTCAGACATTGAGGTAGTTAGAAAGTGCTTGAAATAAACTGTGAAGTGATATCCAAGAGCAACACGGATTAAAACCAAAATGTAAATCAGTTGCTGGCCTATGTAGCCATCAATTTTGTAACTTAGGGCGGAATACTTTAACAGAATCGAGGTAAAAGAATATCAATGAGTTAAATACTATCTGAAATCGAGATATATAATAATTTGTAATTCTGGTTATAAATATCTGGAATCAGCCAAAGCTTCCTTGAATATAGTAAGGAAATGGTAATGCAAATAACCATTTTACAAAATCTAAACAGCCATAAAAAATAATTGCGACATCACTTTCCACTTCGAAAAAAACGTTTGTTGGAAGGAATTCATGATGCGGTCTCACGGGAAGCCGAAGGATTGCCGCATAGTGAAAACTGTTTTATTGTGCGAAGAAGTCTTCGGCTCCTCGTCCTGCGACTCTGATGAACTACTGCGAAGCTTTCATTTGTACTGTGACAGACATCATCAAAGCAAAAATCTATGCTTTACGAAATGGAGTAAAAATATACTAAACCACATCACGAATTACTCCTAACGGACTTTTTTATGTCACAATATATTACTAAGAAATTCTTGGAAGTCCAGTTTTTCCTCATATCATACAAATTGACTTAAGGGGATTTTGGTATCATATTCATCATTTTGAAGTGGGCTTTAAACAGCGTTTGATCATCAGATAATAGTAGCATGAAAAAATAATATCTATAAATACAAACATAGCACAAGAAATATAACGACGAATCCAAAAGCATGACAAAACCCAAGCATATGAATAACAGCCAATAGACTAACACATACCGGGTACAGCAGGTGCTAGCGATTGATGCGACATGGGAACAGGCCCAGTCGACTTGCAGGAGAGTGGTAGAGAGGCCTTGAGGTTAGCATGTCCAAGAACAGCTCTCTTGCTATGATCACTGATGCTACTACTATTACTACTTTCTATATTGATTGAATTGACGTTTTGAGCCACATTTTCTACTAGAACCGCAGTTTCTCGATCACTTAAGAATGAAATAACGTTCGCCCCGTTATGATTTTCGGACTTTTGATTCACGATAAAACCATCGGAGCCCGATGAAGATACAATTGGACGGTCATAGAAGCCACTAGCTAGGAGACCAAGGTTAGAGGCGCCACCTAGACAAAAGCAAGAGAGGTGAAATAAAAGCAGATCAGAAAAGGAACAGAAAATGGCTTGATTCATATAGCAATCAATGTCGGATTCTACGTATACTTCTAGAATACTAAATATGCATAGACGAGGAGTAAAGAAAATTGATCTGGCACGGTAATCAGCGTCTATTCC